TTATCAATGTTATTTGAAAATGTTCAAACTTTTGCTTTCATTATATTATTCATTCAAGCGCGCAATAAAAATCATATTTCGGGTTTGTGATGGTCAATTCAAATTGTTCATCACGTTTTCCAGTAACTCCAGAGGACACATTTGCACTGCGCGTCCCCACACAGGACTTTCTTTTATACGTTTTCCTATTAACATTATATTATTTAAGGAATTAATTTAATTTTAAACTAACGTCCAAACTGCAATTGTCATCTTGCTAGGTCATATTTCAGGAATTTCGTGCATTTTGACAATTTTTTTGTGCAAATCTTCGGAAAATAAAGAGGTCCACAAAATTCTTAACATTTACATTGCTTTCCCTCCAACCGCTCTTATTGGGAGCTGCGATTTTTCAGTCGGACAGCTCTACTTAATGCATACAACCCCGTTTTGATACTGAAATACCCTACCAGATCCATCTGGGTTCGCTAAAGCCTCAAATCAACCTTTATCGAATCTCCTAAAGACAGAAAGTGATTAGCCCTCTCTCGCTCTAGGTGAATATTCTCAAAATGGATTTCTTCCAAAAATCGTAGCAAATACTATTGACATGGGCATTTCATGTGGAAATGCATGAAATGCTTACAAGTTCCACTCCTGAAATGGGTGTGTTGGAAACCGATTGAAAAGACAGTAAACTGGGTGAGAATGGAATAGGTTATGAGGCCCAGACACTAAGAATCCTGGCTATTTTCACTCCCCAAAGACTTATAAGGCCTTGATTTCGTTGCGTTTTACGAGGCTGTTAATTATGGCACCAGGTTCAAGTGTGAGAGTGAGATTGCGTCTACTTCAAGTAAGGTTAGTTTAACAATGTGATTTACTTTCGGGACTGACCTAGTCAGCTCATGTCATTTTTTTTCAAAAGCTTATTAAAATACTTTACAATTATTGAAAGTATTCGATACCTTTTACTACATTCTCCGATTGCCAACAGCTAGAATTGGTTCCTCATATAATTGAAGCAATTTTTAAATATTCTTTCCCATTAATTACTGCCAAATTCCAGTTTGATTTTTGAGCTAAAATATGGCACTAATATAGAGTGAGAGAGAGCTTAAACAATGGGAGAAGTTGAATGATTTGACATTCCCTCACATTGGAGGGGCCGATAGAAGTATTGCGATAAGAGTAATGTGAAGCCAGCTATCAATTCATATTTTCGTCCAATAAAATCGTAGTTTTAAAAAAAGCAGAGATCTAAATAGAGGTGTAAATTATATAAAGAAATTTTCCTACCAATGAGATGTTAGCAATATTCACTAATTTTACGTTACCCTATGTCCATAATGGAGATTTGGGTTTTAAGTAAACTAAATCTAACTTATTAACAATTACACTTTAGGCTATTTGAGAATCCAGGCTATGGCATAAAGAGAAAATGGAGTTTCTGTTAACCGTTGAAACAAGTCTTGCTTTGAGATTTGATTATCAATATTTCAAGTCTGGATTAATGCTGAGCCAGAAATATCGATGTAAGTAAAGAATCGATTATTCAATGTCTATTTGGAAGGGGAAGGGGTGGAGGGGGTTGAAGCTTTGACAATCAGATCATGACTAAAGTTAAATTTTCTTTAACAGTATCCATCACCATACTGAATTAGTTTTGTCTCACAAGTCCAATTATGACAAAATTATTAATTGAGATTGTAAAAAGTAATACTTCTGCAATGCTTTGTCGCTAAAAGCCTGCGCAGCAATTTGACAGTCGGCATGAACTCAATGATGGTGAAGGGTCTCTTCCATAGAGATAAATAAAAGCGCAACAAGCGCGTTTATAGCTTCTTCCGTCAGCATGAATCCAGCTACAGCATAAGTGGAATGAGAAATTGTCGACGAATTTGTCCAGTGAGCCTAAAGTGCGATAAATTAGATAGTAATAAGCAGACAATGGTATCAATAAATGGCTCAAATATCGGGAGCTGAGTCATGCAAAGGATGAATTAAAATAGTTAGAAAAAGGGTTAAAACTAGTAATAGAATCACAATAACGAAAACGGAAATAAGAGGATAGGCCGATAAAAGCGACAAAAACTAGGCTCGTAATTTAATTAGTATACAATAAATATATGCTATTCCTCCACGTCCACTCAAACAAAGTAGTTTGTGAACATCGATATGCTACAGTCCAACCAAATTAAAGACTGAATTTGAGTGCGCTTTTTACATCATCTCAATAAGTTTTGGTGCCGTTCAGGTGTAGCAAACAGCCAATTTACTCCTATGACTATCGCTACTCCCACTTCACTTTTAAGAATTGTTTGGATAAAAGTCCAACCATTCAACTTTGTTAGGGATGAAGCGTCTTTGATCTTGTAGAGGATTGCTGCTCTAATAAGCCTCAGAAATTTCTATGACAGATTCTCCCATATTTGGAAAGACTTCAAGAAGAAGCTAAGATACCGCAATAGACGTATTACAGAAAGCATGCTTATTTGGGATGTGTGAGTGGATGTGTGCAAGGACAGGGAGCTTAGTCATTATGTTGATATGGCGGATTTGATCAACCAAGCGAGGACTATTGATTGGCGGTTGGCTGAGCATTCTCGTACTCACCCCTTACGCGAAGTTTCACGACGCACCTACAAGCCTGTCTGAGTGCGCATGAGTTTACGCTGTCCAGCCGTGAAAACGTTGTGCGCTCCACAACCTCCGTAATATAATGAACTTACCTCTTTAACATCACAAAAGTTTTTTTCCACATTTATTCATTTAGGAGACTGAATTTTCGCCTATACAATTGCCGTCTGATGACTTTAGTAAAACTAAGTTGGTAGCAATTTTTGAGTGCTCCCTAAAGATGCTTCTTCTACTTCTTTAACTTGAAAAATCTAATTTGATCTTATTTTGCACATTTGAAACGGCATCTGAGTCAATGAAAGGAGGCTTTGTTAATGTGTCAGATTGATTATGTCAAAGCGTTTGTCATACGCGTTGTGTGCCTCATTCGGATGACGGGCTTCTATAATTATTTCCATATTCGCTATGTCAATGCAAAAAATAAACCTAAATTGAGTATTCGCGAGATAGAAAATCGTTCCATGGGAGCTTGAAAGAGAGTTCAACAGACTTAAAATGAAGTGTCGCTCTTTTCGCCTTTCCTGCTATCACAAAATGGGTTTTGGAAGGGTAAATTATTTGAAATAACAGATAGGAATCAGTAACTTTATAATCATAAAGCCCACAATTTCAAACATCTAAGGAGGTTAGTATCATTGAGCTGACTAATGTAAAACGACAAACAGCTTAGGGACAGAAGTATGCGAAAATATTTTAAAAGCGAAAATTTATTATGTGAATCACGCTAACAGATAATTAAACAGGAGGCACCCTTTCAAAAAATTTCTCGAAAGGAGAGTTTCTTTCGCTTTCTAATCCATGCCACTTAATTTCTGCCGGATTAAAAAGGAGAAAATGGTGGCGGCACTAAATGGTTGTTATGATAATATCGACAAAATCAGACAAAACTTTCCTTCGAAGTTTGATATCCATACATTCTCAAATTTGAGGGGGCATCTAATTTAAAAATTTCGGCCAATGTGAAGGAATATAGTGACTTGCTGGAGCTTTACCTTATAAAATAATACATTTTGGTTTTCAGTTTAGTGAGTGTTAGCTAACTAATTTATTGATTTACCAAGACTTAAGAGCTTAAACAAAGTTTAAATATGCAATTTACAACCTCAGTGTCTATTATCGTGTGCAAATTATTTTCACATATTTTTCAACTTTTTCCAATCATGCCTTCATTAGTCTATGTTTTAAGCATACTTAAAAGCAAAATATGTATTTCAAATAGTTTATTTTAATCTAGCACTTTGTTAAAAACCCCTTTTCATTTTGGTCCACAGTATCCAACATTTCATTATATCATACATTATTATTGCTAATCTAAATCTAAGCTAAAGCAAAAGAAATCTAAATAATTTCTATTCGACACCATGATATCATCATGGTTTCGGCTTCCAATACGGTTAGAAATAATTGAGACGATTTAACTTAATATTGAACGAAATTAGTAACGATAAAGTTTAACAGAAAGTGAGCTTCATTTGATGAGAACTGCAGGATGTTAGGAGGAGAAGTTCTTCGATGTGTTACTTAAGGAATGTACGCACAAAAATTTTGTATTCTGACCTAAATTAATAGATCTGAGTCATTGTAGATCAACAATAATAATATCGTCAAGAACCGGCTTAAATTTCACTTAATGAATATCAGAATAACCCAACTAACTCTCAATGGAAATACACTTAAAAGAGTAAGCGATAAATTCATCGCAGTATGAAGTTTTGCGAAAAGATTCAAGATCGTCAATTTGTGCCTTGTCCACTTATTTACATAAGCATACTTTGAAAATGGCAATTGATTATCAGAGCTCAAATTGTGATATTTCAAAATTATTATCTATCTGGACTTTGAGTAAAACTATGCAGTTCAAAAGGAAATAAAAAATATACTCGAATTAGATCATAAGAACTGGCCAAAACGATACTCTTGATCTTCACATTCCAGTTTATTATTCATCTTAAATCATGAGTAATAATAACAAAGTGTGATAGCTCGATAAATGATTGTAAATTGCTATCGGCTATAATATATTTTGTTGGTGAAAGTACTACTGTATTTGAGGAACAATAATGATTTGGAACAACTTAATACTAAAAACTAAAGTAATATAAATGGAAATTGGCAAGGACTCTGCATTCTTGGGCATATTTTAATTTATTTATAATTTCTTCTTACTACTGTTAACACTTTGCTGAAATTGTACATAGTTAGTTGAACATTAGAAAAAAACAATTAATCGTTCATAAAATTTTAATCCGTGAATCTAAATTTTGATCTCGAAGAAATAAACGTTTGAATTTCTCTCCCCTAGCTGATTATTTAAACCAATCCTCTTTCATCCTTAGATCATAGCGCTTTTGGTTTCAAATAAGTTGTTTTCCTATTTGGTTATGCCAACACGGAAAGCGAATGGCGGTGTTCTGCCTAAACAAATCGACACATGTTCAGAATCGGTTTTCGAATCTTCAAAACAACTGTCTTTATTACTTTCTCAACACAAAGGACGCATATTGATTTACACAGGTGCTGGAATTAGCACTGCGGCCAGGATACCTGATTATCGAGGAACTCACGGGCTCTATAAAAAACTCACTAAACGACAAATTTTGACGTCAAAAATCCGATTGCCTGAAGCAACAACAGCAAGGCCAACCTTTACCCACATGGCTATAAGAGCTCTTGTAGATAATGGTTACGTAGGAGCCGACTAAATTTTACTTGACCTTATCTTTATTAGATTAGGCATGTGGTTTCTCAGAATATCGATGGTCTTCACTTAAGAAGTGGACTCCCGCTAGCAAATCTTACAGAAATTCATGGTAACTTGTTCAATGAGGTGGGCTATTTTTCATAGAACTCCACTCACTTCACATTATATCCATCTGTCTCTTTCATTTTGTGTGTAGAAATGCCAATCTTGCCATTCGGTTATTTATAGAGATTTTGATGCAGCAGAACTCACTGAAAAGAACAACCACTTTACTGGACGAGTCTGTCCCCTTTGTTGTGATAAGGAAACTGCAGTAAAACTGCGATCTTCATTACTTCAATTGGCTCAAACTTTCTGCCCTCGCAAGGGTTCAACGATACCCAGTATTTCTCAACTTAAAAATGCTGCGGAGTCACTTTCCGATAGTTACGGTAATAATTCATTTTTCTTTCCCTTTCTGATCTGTTGACTTGGATTATGACAAACTAATAGTTACCTTTATTTTCTCTTTTTTTGTAGCTCAAGAACATGGTCGTGCTGCTCCATTACTTCAAGATACTTTGGTGCATTACAAGGAGTTCTATAGTCTTGAAAATCGGGATCGAGTTTTGAGAAATCTCTACGGTTCGTGCCGATTTTCGAACATACTCACTGACGAAGATTCTCGAACTGTTGACGGTAAAAGTGAAAAGAAAGATTTTCCTGAGTCCACTTGGTAAGTCTATCAAATGGTTTCTATCATTTTTTCTTTACATCTCTGCCACTGTAGTTCTTGGTATTGACAAATTAAATGCCACGTTCTGTCGAAATCCCTAAACAGCTGAGTCAGATATTTTATAAATTAAGGTATTTAGATATAATAAAGTCATGACTTTTTTCTATCGCTTTTCTCCATTTTAACACAAAGTCCATTTCTTTGAAAGCCAATTTTTCACCATTTGCGACTTAGAGAGGTATTTATCACATCGTAGTTTTAAGGTCATTTTCGGCTCCACAGCGTGAGTCCTTATGGATAAATTGATGTTTAATCAATGGGCTCACCAACTTTTGCTTACATAGTGATAATCTATTAACACGTCTTGGGATATTTTGAGGGTAAAAATATTTAGAGTCAACTACATGTCCGGTGATTTTAATAAAGGTACTTCCTTAATGTAGTTATCGATGGAAAATTGTAAATTTGTAAAATTGGCAACAAGTTATTTCCATCAAAAGGGGCTACCTGAACACATCGATTCAAGTTATGTGAAAGGGCTGTTTTAGTTATTTCAATAGGTAACTAATGGAAGTGTGGAAAAAATTTTACGACGTTCTCGGATCTCATTCTCTTAGAATTTTTAAATTAGGATGTGAACCTTCTATCATATAACTAATGTAAGTAAATTCGTGAAATGTAGAGTAACAAAAGTGCTGCTCACAAATACTAACTTGTATTTGAAAGGAAGTGGGGTACGCGATAGACTTACCTCCACGTGGTGCACCCTGGGCAACGTATACTCATACGGCAAAAAAGTCTATTGACTGGCAGTTGACTTCTCACTTCAAACTACCATCACCTCACTCGATGCCATATTCGAATATTTCACAGTACTCACCTCACCTTTGTTCTACCTATGTGTTTGTCTCTTATATCTTTGAAAC